ATTTCTTTTAACTAGTTCACTTAGACCATCGGGGCCATGTGCTGAGCATCTGGTATAAAGAGAAAATCGATATTTCTAATAACGCCCCAAATGCATTCAAAGGAACGTAGAAATTCCGATATATTTAAATAAGTTGTTAGATTGTTGAGACGAAAATAATAATAGGTCAAATAGCTGGTTTTTAGGCGGATTTTCCAAGCTATAAGAATACATTAAATGAGATTGACTAATCCGCCCCGTGTTGCTACACGGAGTCACTAGAGGAAGGCTAGGGTTATTTGCGAGTTCAGTTAGTCACAGAATTATTTATATAAATGTAAGTCCAGTCAATTAGATAATTATTAACATGGCATAGTTATGCCAAAGCGTCCCGATATTCAGGGTTCCCGCCAGTAAGATAAGAACAGAAACGCCCGAGAAATGGGCGTGTCGAAGCGAGGTGTCGAATTCAGGAGAGGATCTCCGAAAAAACAGGCAGTTTTTCATTGGGTTCTACATCGAGCAGTCTACTTAGCTTTAGAGTATCGGATTAATTTAATAATGGATAGTCATTCCAAATTTTGCTATGGATCGCGCATTCCCTGAATCTCGGTACGCTGTCGCGTATAAATAAATAAATTATTAATGTTGTTCGAGCCCGTTGTGTCGTTAGTTTGTTCTTCCCGCAAAGTTTTGGTGTTCCTTTTTGTTTCTTTCAACTTCAGTGTCACCCTGTACAGCCAGTCACTGGATTACATTCTACGTAAGCAATGGATGGTAAGTGCCTGAAATTCATTCTCTGAACATACAACATTTCTAAGTTCCCACGTATTAATTAAAGTATAATGACGTTTCGAAACGTTAATAGTAAACTATTTCGCAAATTAATATCGTCATGACTTCCATTAATAAAAACTTATCGTCTGGAGCCTGTTTAAAAACATAGTAACGTTTTCCATAGTCAAAATTTTTGATTTCTTTGCTTCGCATGTGTCATTTTGACGTTTTAAAAGGCAAGTAGCTTTTTATATTGTGATATATACATATTTTCGTTTATTTGTATAGTACTCTTTAACATATAGACTATAAATTGGATGCCTTAAGAGATTTTGCCTAAAATACCGAAAAACATTGTATGAAAAACACTAAAATATGTATAAAAAATAGTTTGCATTCTCAAAAAATACGCTATACTTTCATCAGCTCTTGGTGCGTTTTTTGTCATCTTCCACATACAAAATATTTCATATACTTTCTCGTATTTTTCCTTGGATTTTAAAGGAAGTAAGCTCGAAGATGCTTCTGGAGCGGCATTTTCTAAATTGTTTTCAATAACAAGACTCATTTTTATAATTAATATACAGGGTGTCTGTAAATAAGTGCGAAATATTTTAGGGGGTGGTTACTGAAGTTATTTGGTGAAAAAATTTTCATATAAACATAGGTCGAAATATGCTTCGTTTACGAGATACAGAATGTTTAAATTTTAATTTTTTATTCATTTTTACTAATTATGTCAAATAGTTTTAAAGATATTAACTCGATACTCGATTGATACATACTGAAATTTGTATATCCTAAATAATAATCTTTTGTGAAAATTTTAATCGTATACTTGATACTCCTTTGGATTTGGCAACGCCGCTGGTATGTCCCTTCGATCTTATGACGCTATGCAACATGTGAATCCAGACACACTCGTCAAACACAATCCCTGTTCGCACCTGTCAGAAAATATTTTCGTTATTTTTCTGGCCGAAATAATTTCTATTCGGAATTTTTTCTACCTGTTAGGAAATGAGACTTTTAAAATAAAACTATTGAATTTGTTGCGGTACGCTACAATTACATTTAGTACCTGTCCCAATAAATATATTTTGCTTTCTGGAAATTTACGAGCCATATACATTATACTTTGAATTATCCGAGATTATCCCAAATAAATGTATTTAGCAAATGAGATAAGAATAAGTAGGCTGTAAACATAAATTAGTTGTTGTTTATTAGGGTACATAAGCACAAACCGAGTAGGTAATGACCCGGATAAGTGTTAATTAGGATAGGGTAATAAAAGTAGGTACCTGGGGACAAGGATGAAAACCGAAAACTTTTCGAGGCAGGGGAGAAGTCTTGAAACCTAGTTCCTGCTCGGTTGTGTCTCGTGTTACCTGCGAAATTAGTAGAATAAAGTTTTCCATGCTATTTAGAGTTTTTCTCCTCACTTGAAGATCAAACCACTATAAATTATTTATCTGCTATTATTTATTTAATAATTACTTTATTTATCATATGGCACTGTCTTTTACAGAAGAAGGTCTATATCCAACTACCTATATGAATCGCAGTTAGAAAAGGAATTTTTAACTTGTCCAACACTACCCACTGTTTTCTTGTATGTTTTAGGTTCTCTTCCTGATATTTATTTTGACAAATACATTTAAATCATCAAACCTCATTTTAATAGAAGAAAACGGTGGGTTAAATAGTAGTTTTTTTATTATTTAAACGAAGTAGTTGTCGCAGTGTACACGGTACAGAGCTGCGGTAAATTCAATATCTCATACTTTCTTCCCTGAATAAAAAGTTAAGGGGAAATTAAAACTTTTCCCAAATAAAAAATTATATCTTGGCAAAGCTAATGCTGGGTAACGTCTTGTCAGTTACGTTACTTTTTCACTTTTTCCGTCGTTGGTAAACTTAATATACATGGAAATAGCATTAGACAGATTATGCGTCTACAAAAGAGGAGTCACATTTATTTAGAGAAGACAACAGCTACAATAAACAATTTATGTGTTTCGTACATGGCACATATGACAGTGAATTTGGCCATTTGGCGAATGTCTTTGTTCGGAATAATAACGGGTGACGGCAATTAAAATTTAATAAACAGTTAATGGAAATTCAACATACTGGGTGCTTTATTAAAAGCGGATATAGCTTATTGGGGGATTTCTGAGAAGAATAATGACAAGAACATCAACAATGTACAATTGAACAAAGACACAATTTTGAAGATATTGCACAAAACAAGCTGAAAACTTAAATATTTATGTTTTACATTTAGTTTTGCTGGGCGGGAATTTAATTAATAACTTTTAAAAATTATACCGATTATATCAAAAATTAATAAGTGCCTGAAAAAAAAACATGATGCAAATTGATATTTTTCTCATCAAAATTCGCTCGACAGCCCGCATGTAGACGAAATTACTTATTTTTGACAATACTTTTTCAGAAACTGAATTTTTACGGAAAAAAATGAGTATTTCATTTACAGGATGGGTAAAAACAGAAAAATACAATACATGTAATAACTAAATAACATAATACAAAAAAAAAGAAGAAAAACAATAAATATGTATACAAATATACTTAACCTAAACCACCATGAATATAATGCATGTTCACTCAATGATTAATTTTAATTAAGGTTTATGGGTTTGTTATTAATGGTGTGGTGGGACTTTATGCCTTTGAAATTTTTAGGTTTAGGACATACGAGTTTAGGATTTATGGGTTAGAAATTTAAGCTTGGTGGGTTAAAGATCTATGCGGTGAGAGTATGAGTTTAGTGATTATGGGTTTAGTGTTTATGGGTTTTGGATTTACGAATTTGGGATATACTAGATTGGTGTACGGATTTAGGATTTATAGGTTTATGGATTTAGAGTTTATGGGTTATGGGTTAAGGTTTTATGAGTTATGGGTCCAGCGTTAATTAATTGTCGACCCTAAACCCATAGACTGTTTAAGGGTTTAAGGTCTATTGGTTTAAAATTAATGTGCGAAAATACAATACGCGTACTATCGACAGATTTCCGGCGTAAAAACTGTAAGTTTACCTATTCGTATGCTCATTTTCTGCCGAATCCGCAAAAGTACAGTTTCTGAAAAGTATTTTAAAAAAATCAAGCAATTTTATATACATACGGGGACTGTTGGGTGAATTTTGACACGAATTCAATTTCCATTGCTGTTCGACGCTTCTGAATAAAAGATAACATTTTTTTATAGATGTATCCTCATGTACCTCATGATTCCAATATCAGAATTGGTGCGCGGTCTGTCAAATCAACTCATTTCAATTAAAAATTGATGGATGAATGAATTAAAAATAAAAAACATCGGATTAAACTGAATTCAAAATATTGTTTTACCCACAGAGTTTTATCGTATACACGATTTTTTGTACCTACGTTCAACAGGCTTGTAAAGTTTAGGTAATGTAATGATAAACATAAGTAAAAATGTGCTTTTTTCCTTGTTAGGTACATGTTATATTTTATATCATGTTGCAAAATATAGCTAATAATCGAAATAATGTAAAAACTTGAAAAATGTAAAAACATGGATCGAACATTCTCTGTATTCATACTTAGCTTTGATTATACTATTTATCGACATAAATTAAGAAATATGTGGTAACAATTATCATATTACATTATTCGATCATAAACTACATTTAATTTCAGATTTTCAAAAAACAAATAAAAAAAACGTTTTTCAATATTCCTAATATATATTTCATTTACTTGTAATAAGTATGGCTTAGTCAAAGATTTGTAAATTTGACATTATTCACTCAACTCATCATTATTAATATATCTACATTTACTTTCACTATACTCTATTTTTAAACTAGGAGGAGCGTTTTGAATATTGCGCGCCAAAATGTTGGTTTCTTATTGGTTAATTTCGAGCCCACTTTAAACTGCTAATAAATTAGACACTTTGACATTTGTTGTCATTTTGCCTCTTAGTTATCATCAGTTTGTTGTCATTGTGTTTTTACCTGCTTTTCTATCTATTTATTATCCCAGTTACGTATAAATCAGTTCTTATCAGAACTAAACAACATATTATATTGTTTGTCACCTTTTTTTTTTCTAATTTTCCATTGGATATGGATGATGCTGTGCCGACCACGAGTAAGGCAGGCGCGGGAATTACATCGCCGTCGCCCCCAAGGAAACGAAAACAACTCAGTTTGGGGCATTTATCTCTGGCAGAAAAGCAAGCAATATTGAATTTGTACAAGAAAAGCCTAGATGATGAACCTACTCTTAAAACTGTCCAACTTGTATCCAAAATAGCGATGACATTAGGTAAATTTATGTTAACATTATTCTGTTGAACTATATTACACATTATACTTTTTTAGGTGTTGCAAAATCAACAGTATATCGAGCCATAAAACAGTATAAATCTACTGGAAGGGTGTCTACTTCCAAACACTGTGGTGGAAGACCTGGGATTGTTACATGTTTGGATGAAGCAATGAAGAATTCCATAAGGCGTATAGTACACAGCTTTTTCTTTAAAAATGAGATCCCCACTTTGGACAAAATATTAACCGAAATAAAAAGTCGTCAGGATTTGCCACAGATGTCCCGTTCATCATTATACAAATTTATGAAACAAATTAATTTCAAGTAAGGTTGAAGACATATCTCGGAGCAAGTATAATTGCAATAAAAACATTTTATTTTTTTTTCAGATACTTAAAACGAAGTCGTAAAAGTGTGTTGATAGAACGTGATGATATAGTGAGATGGAGACTTGACTACTTGATATCAATTAAAAAGTTTAGATCTGAAGGTAGACCTATTTATTATTTAGATGAAACATGGTTAAATGAAGGTCATACAAAAGAAAGGGTATGGGTTGATACTAATATTAAAAGCAAACGTGAGGCGTTCAATGAAGGGCTGTCTACGGGATTAAAAAATCCGTCCGGTAAAGGAAAGCGTCTTATTATCTTACACGCTGGCTCAGAGGAAGGATTCGTTGAAGACTCGTTATTGGTTTTCGAAGGCAAAAAGAGTGGGGATTATCACGAGGAAATGAATGCAAATGTATTTGAAAAGTGGTTTTCTGAATTTTTGAAAAAAATACCAGATAATTCTGTTATTGTAATGGACAATGCATCATACCATAGTCGAAAAGTAGAAGCTATTCCGACAACATCAACAAGAAAAATTGATATGAAGGCATGGCTGCAATAAAAAAATATCGAATTTGAAGAAGGTATGGTGAGATCGCAATTATTATATTTAATTCGCCAAAATAAAGATAAATATAATTTGTATATAACTGACGAAATGGCAAAAAAAGAAAATAAAGTTGTGTTACGATTACCGCCATATCATTGTGAATTAAACCCTATAGAATTGATTTGGGCACAGGTGAAGAATGAAGTGGCAAGCAAAAATAAAACATATAAATTGAAGGACGTAAGGGAACTACTAATAGAGGCTCTTAATAATGTTACAAATATGAACTGGAAAAAATGTGTAGAACATGTGATTAAGGAGGAAGAAAAAATGGGAACACTTGACGGAATTATGGACGATCTCATTGAACCTTTAATTATATCAATTAATAATAGCGAGAGCGATATGGATACTGACTCGTCGAATAATTCAGAAAATTGTTAAAGACATGATTTGTCCCTAATTTTTACCAATAATATTATAAATTATAAAAACTTATTTTGTTACTTTGAACACCTGCAGATGATATATTACGAACGTAGTTCAGTTATCAGTTATTTGGCAATTATCCGGTAACTTAATAAACGTAGTTCGTAGAAATGCAACAATTCAAAGTAACAAAAACACCATTATATAATTACTCCAATGCTAGATGTAAAAATGTGAATCAATAAAATTGTTTTTAAAAAGTGAAAACTGGAATCATTTATATATGTTTGGTTCGTAGTATATTATTTCATTCATATTCAGTTTTTCAATGTTATGTAGGAAGTACCTCCTATTTTAAAAAAATATATATAAAAGTTAAATAAACCTAGAATTAGATATTTATGCATTGCACATTATTTTGAGTAACCCCATTTAAAAGCAATGAAAGCTTATTGTACTCAAAATGAGGTTAAACACTTGCAGTGAGTATATACTTGATAGTCTGATGCTATCTGGGGTAGTTTTTAGTAACTTTTGCAGTGTAAATCTGTCTTTGGCATTCACTCCTTTTAGTTTAAAAATAGACTATAGCCCCTTTATCTACACAAATTGGTATATTTCCTCTTCTATACCAAATTCATCTAGCAGTCTTTCACAGTAAAAAAAATCACTCAATTTCATTCAACAATAATGTATCAATTTCTGTCCACACCCGATTGAATGAACTATTCACTCTTATTATGAGTACAACTGTTTTATGAGTGAAACTATTGCGAATTTCTGTTTGAGTGACTTTTGACTCTATTCTGAGTACGTAAAATCAATTAAGAGTTTTTTCTCTAAATTTAACTATTATCGAGTAATTTTTTCTCAGTACTCAATTTAAATATCATTGTATTACAGTCATAAACTACTAAGCTGCCACAGTGGTTTCCACACAGATCTGTTTTAGAGACAATATTTTAGGTCTCGATTAAAATAATTGGTTAATTGATTGGACGAATAGATTGCCATAACCTATGTTACACGTTACAGATAGTAAGTAAGTATAGGTGATAATCTAACTATCCGTTTATTTAATTAAATATTAATCAAGGTAATATATTGTTGTTTGTAATTATTGTAATCAAACTGCAGTTAAAGACAATAATTAATTGTCACCGAAGTAACCGGATAAACGATTACTTGTCCAGCAGAACACGACATACACCACGCCACGAGATGATTAGACAAAGACAACGCACGACAAATATAAAATGGGGTGAAATCACTGAATAATTAAGACATTTACTCCGATTTAGGTAGATAGAATTTATTTAACAGATACCTACACATATTTGGGTGAAAATACTAAGTTTTAATTCAAATATCGCAAATGAGTAAAATTATTAAAATGCTCAATATTGAGTGAAAATGTACTGTATCATTTCACTCAATAGATTCACTTTTATTGCTTTCACTCACACAGATTTTGTTCTAACAGAGTCAAGCAAGAACACGATCAAGGGTTTCCAATTATACTGATTTTCCTCAAATTTCTCAATCAATCAAACGAATTTGATGGAAGGAACATCAGTTTGTTATTGTCGAGAAGCTCTTCTATGAACTGGATACCATTTCTGGGAAATACATGTTCGTTAACTTGTTTTAGATTATTGTTTTGAAGGACGAGGTATTGGAGGCTTGGAGTGTGTTCAAAGGAATTTCGTTCTATGAAAGAGATAGAATTAGATGCCAGATTCAAAAGGTGTACACGGGTTAATTTTTGTAACACGTAATTAGTTACAGTTGTTACAGAATGATTAGCAAGTCTCAGAACCACAAGCCGTTCAGGATATGTTAAAATTTGATGCAAAAAGATCAACTGTTTAATATGAGAACAATCAGAGGAGGCAAGTTATTTAGAGTCCCATTTTCTATGGACTGTATTTTATTGTTGGATAAAAATAAAGCTATTAAGGGTAGATTTACAAGTTCTGTTGGAACTTCTTGCAAATTATTGTCACTATATCCAAACTCTCCAACTTAGCTGTTGGTTGAAATGTTTCGGGAATATTCCCAAATCGGAGCTGGATTCAATCTTTGTATATTGTAATATTGCCTCGCCTATATTTGGTACTCGATTTATCACTGCACTGGAAATATAACGAACAGATTTACAGTTAACTTCGTTAAAAATTATTTAAAAACAGATTTTCAGATTTTCAATCTAATAAGCAATGTTGCGGTAGCGAAAAATGAACGCAAAGAGATCGACATTGTCATACGAATGCATATTTTGGTAACCTTTTAACCACTGATATCATGTCATTTTCGTAACATTTGTAAATTATTCTATAGTAGGATCGTATTCGATGCAAAGTAGAGCAAAAAATTGTCGGTCTTTTATCAAAGGAAAATCGTGTCATCATTTTTAGGAGGCGTAAGGTGAACCATTTGAAATTAAATGTTAAATCTGAAATACCGCTGCATACGCACTGTGTTCTGGTAATAGCTGTAGTCGCCCAGGTGCATCGAGTGTACGAACTGNCATTTCAAATTTAAAATGAAATTCAATGTTAAATCTGAAATACCGCTGCATACGCACTGTGTTCTGGTAGTAGCTGTAGTGGGCCAGGTGTATCGAGTGTACGAAGTGGTCGGTTATACGTCAAATACTAACCTGGCGAGCTTGATCGTAAAACAGAGAGCGCTTCCAAATAACAAGTAAACAACAGTGGCGCGTACAGAGATAAAATGTAGTACATATGTTGAAATTAAAGAACAAATTGGATTTATAATAAATTACATTTAAAATAAACAGTTTATGAGAATAAGGGAATTTTTGCAGGAACAAGGGTGCCAAACGTGAACTGATCCCTTCGTCCCTTCATAATGTATAAAGAAATTATTTAATTTCTAAAATCCTTAAAAGCGTATGGCACTGAATCCCTTGACAGGCAATGATTTATTACTTTGCATCGAATATGATCCTACTTATTAGTAGATTTAGAGTGTGGTATGATCAAGGTATTAAGCATATTTCTTACTTGATTTGGCATGTTCCTATATGTATATTACATAGATACTAAAAAAATACGTAAGTTTAATTACGTTTTTTATTAATTGAGAAACACTCGGGAAAACGTTAATGGATTTTTTGCATAAGAAAACAGACAAAATTCCTACAAACAAATGAAAAACAAAATACTACCCAACTGCATTCAGTAAATATGTCACTAAGAAACTTTTACATGCTCAAAACAAAGTGACGCTTTAAGCTTAATAAAAGTTCCTTCCAGTCCAGCACCTATTCAAAAAGCACTCTATCGTGTTCTGTTTTTTTACCTGCCTGTATGTAGCTAGTTCGCGTAACAGGTGGGGCCAGTTCTTCTAAAGGCTGCTACTTCAAAGGAAGCTTACAAACGTTGCTCTCATGTGCATGTCTGCAACTATTTTTATGTTTTCGCTCAGTGGTCATTTCAGACGTGCGGAACCTTTTGTTTTCTTTAACTGCACGAGTCATTCTATTGGTCGCGAAAAGGATAGACCGTAGAGTAAAATGCTGAAGTTAGATGGCACTGCTTACATTCTTCTGAAAAATGCTTCTATTTAATTCCGGTATACTTCCAGGTTATTATAAAAATATAAATAAAGTCCAAGAATGAAAATCGTACCTTATATTAATTAAAGCAACAATAAGTTTTGTCTTTGTTTAGATTGGTCCATAATCTCAACTTATTGGCTAAATAATAAGCAGGATAACAATCAAATACATGATTTCTCTTTCTTTATTTACAAACCGGTTATTATAGAATTAAAATTGAATATATTTTTTTAATATTGGTACTCAAAAACATGGAGTATGTCTATTTACAAATATTTTGTAGTGTTTTTTTTTAAATATCTCCAAATCATCTCCAGACAAACGAGGAAAGGGATGATGCAGTAATTTTTTTAAATGATCAACACAAAAGTAAAACTAACTCTTAGGTCCTCTATTTTAGTTTGAAATGCATTAGTTCATTTTACTGTTTCATACATCATTTGTAAAATAACAATTTTCCTTAAAAAATCTTCAAAACGGTTCAAACGAAAGAAGGAAAACATTGCAAGGAAAATTAAAAACTTTATAAAGGTTAAATTTATTCCCGTTTCCTTTGCTGCGCTAACAGACCAAAACCTAATCAAATTTCGACCATAACAAGTTCTAAATAAAGCAAAAAGTAGTTTCACTTCAAAGGGATGTGCTGGTAAACTAATATTATAAAACATTGAACAGGAAATTTCAAGACTTGGTTTTGATAATCGAGGATAACATAAAATCGTTTTAATAAATGAAAATCAACCGTAAACTTGCATGTAAAAAGAAATAATTTTTTCATATAAAAAACTAAAATAATATATGTATAGCTATTGTTGTTGAATGAAGATAAATACCTAAGTGGCAGTGTATAGTTTAAAATGTTATATTACTGTTTGGGTAGAAAATAAGTTTAATTAAAGTTACATTAACTTCTTTACATTCAGTTGAAGCTTTTCAATATCCTGTTCGAAAATAATTGAATTGTAGGAATGACTTTTGTATTGTCGTATTCCAAGTCTCGAGTGATTTCGAATTTCGACCTACGAAACCGTTTGCAGTCACTTGATCACCAGAAAACTCGACCTAGCCTACCATCCCCGAGAAACACGTTGAACGGAAATAAAAATTTCCATCTCTGTTTCTGATCGAAATTATCACCCACTTTTCGAATTCAACCACCTCCAACTCTCCACAAAGTGGACGGCTTCAAATGTCCCAAGCCGCAGTAGACATCACGAGAGCCGGATGCTGTTTCAATTTTAGTTTAGTTTCGAATTTACCCGCAAAACCGCCAGGAATATCACAAAATTCGTAATCTGAAATAAGAACTATATTACACAACAAATTTACTCAACAGCCTTGAATCCGGAGAACAGCAGTGTCTGAGCTTTGGTAGAGGTACCATGAAGCAGGATCGAACGTCGACTCTGGGTTTTTGCAGTTCTATAATCAGAGCAGAAGTCACTGGCCAGTATGTGTACATGACCCGAATTCAAGCGAATTCGTTGTCTTTCGATAGGTACCTTGAAGCCATTTCCAGCTTATTTAGAAGGAAATAAGTCCCAATCCAAAGAACTATTCAGTGTTAGAAAACTAAACACAGTTTTTCATAGTTTTTTTGGGAAAACATTTCCGCAAAGAATGTGCTATGATACACTAAAATATTCGGTGTGAGTGAAAGCAATAAAGGTTCGTAGTGAAT